CCTTGGATGGATCGGAAACTTCTTCTTTCAGCGGCCTCTTCAGCTTTGGTTTTGAGTCTCTATTTCTGAGCAAGTTAATGTGGACGACGGTGTTCTACTAGGGTCGGTATTAGGGCCGTGCATTTTGTTGTTCTTCAATATCAACCTTGCAAGTCACATCAGGTCAAATTTTCTTGTTTTTGTTGATAACCTCAAGATATACTAAGCAATCGGATGTCAGGAAGACCACGATGTGCTGCGACAAGACTTAGACCACGCCTTTAAATGGTCAAAGATAAATCTACTTCCGTTTAACACGGACAGGTGCCAAACTGTGCATGTCTGTCACAAGCCCATGTACGCATATATGCTTGCGAACAACGCGCTGATAACGGTATTATAGGAGCGAGACGTTGGAGTGATAATGTAAGACGATCTCGGCCATTCGGCGCATTCCTTGAAGGCGTTCGGGCTGTTCGATCCCTCACTCTTTCCCCAAAGGCACAATGAATGTATGAGGCCCAAGGTAGAGTACGTGGTCCCGGCTTGGCAACCCTGATTTCAACGCAATCTGGCTGCGCTAGAGACAACCCAGCGATGGACAACGAAAACTGAGAAGGGGATGTCGCATTTGCAATACCATAGGACACTGAGAGCCTTGGATGTGTTTAGCGGAAGATACCGCCGTCTACGGGATGACTTCATCCTGGCTTTCCAGATCTCAAAAAAACCCCGTCTCGCCTGCCGCCACCTCTTGAAGTTTGGTCACAACACGGAATTGATGACACATGAGTTGCAACCTGCCACCCAATACAGTCGGCTTGAGTGCTGCCGGAATTACTTTTCTCTGCGAGTTCGTCAACTGTGGAACGAGCTTTCGACCTTTGCTATTTTCGCGTCCACGCTACTTGCTTTTAAAAAGACTCGACGACGCGTTACACCACTTACATTAGTTGGTCTCATTCTATTCATTAAGTGACGACATGGCGCTGGCAAATATTGTGCTTACAAACCCCACTCAATCAGAGTAGACGGATTTACCTTTGTATTAATGCGGATAATACGGTGAGTTCACAGATGCCTTTTTCACCTTTATGCAACACTTTTGAACTAACCTTATTCCAACATATCCTCTCAAGGAACTTGCCAAGCCTTGGATTTTGTATCCGTATGCTACCACTGTTCCTAAAACATTATTCGACGAGACTTCTATGCCTTCTCTCAGGCCACTGAATACATAACGCCTCCTACGATTTCCTTAAGTTGACCACGTTACTTTGTAGATCATTCAAGATGGTCCATAGTGTTTTCAAGTTGAATCCAGTGGGCACGAAAGCCCCTAAATGCTACGGTCCACTGAATGATTAGACCAAAATCAGAGAATGACATCCTACTTTGTGTGCTCAACTGGTTTACTATTTGCTTAATTGAGATTTGTCACGCAACAAACAACGCATAATTTTTAGGAATGTCTGTGCCCGTTAGATTCAACTTGAAAACTTTATGAACCATCCTAAATATCCATGGAGGAGCATGATTTCCTTAAAGAAGCAATGGAAATCGCTATAGATTCAGTTGGCTAAGAAAATATGTAGCTTAACTTCAGGGGCACAGATGTCACTTAAGATAGGTATTGTCAAAGATGGTTCTCTATCAGTTGAGGCTAAAGCGACCAATGAGGCACCGCCGTTGAGCACATTTTTCTTTCAAGTGGGGTACGATCCGCTCTAAGAACCGCTCTTTTAAACTCGGTGGTCGTTATAATCATTGACTGCTTGACTGTTTGCAACATCTACCGTGGGGAATTTTAGGTGTAGTGTACAATCGTGTTTTAGTAACTTTTTTCGAAGGGGCAGATCATTCCCCTAAGCTGATGGAAGCAGCTGATAAAAGCGTGCGCTCGAGTTCTCAACTGGGTACCTGTCAGGTATATTAAGTCTCACGATATTCGTAGAAGAACTAATCCTTTCAGCTGTCTCAGTTCTATGGTGGCTTTAAACTTTCCTACTTTTCAAGGCATCCGTACATTTGGATTTTGGTGGTACCAGAATGAAAGTTAGTAGTGGCAATAGCTCTAAAATCAGTTTCACTATACTCACCTAACTTTTAAGGTATTCCAAATTTGTCTCCATGAATTGTATTTTGTTATATATTTCAGTCACACTGTCAATCACTTATGTTTCTGAGGCTTTCGGAAGTTGTGTTACTGCTGGTTTAGAATTAGTATTCAGTTCCGGTCTCTTCCTCAATCGGCTCGGAATTATAGAGACAGGAGCCTTGGGTGTCATTTTAGACACGCCAATTAACGCAAACGTGAGTGGACTATTTTCATATTTATAACCCACTCAATAAGAACAGAGGGAGCTAAAAAATTGTTTGCAATGGAATACTCAGGCGAAAGGTCTATGTAAGGCTCTAGTTGAAGTAACACCCACAGTGTTCTCCAAAACAGCAGAATTATTACCCTAAAGATACTGGGTGCAAGTAGTTTAGGGGGTTGGCAAATAATAAAAATATTAAAAATACTTAACTTGAGCTATTAGCCTGTTCTTTTGTGTAGGTTGCACATTCAGTATGCATGCATGATCAGAATGAAAACGATGACGGACCTTAGTGGGAAACAGTTTAAACGACACCGAAAATCCCGATCGCACCGAGCTTGAAGGTCACACAACCAATAAAGACAATGCATGCTTAGGTTAAAACAATAGAAAATAATGCATATAAGACCACCAGTCAGAGCATTGGTGCGCCATGACTATGAGAGGAAAAGGTAATTTGGTTTTATATGGTAGGCATCATGGAAAAGAAAACATGTTTCTGATAGACAGTCATTTAACAGTTTTGGGAATATCATGCAGATATTTCATCTAAAATAGTGCAGGATAGCAAGAAAAAATATTTCAACATGACACTAAATTCATATATGTAGGGTGTTGCTACTGGTTTTATCCTACAGTCCGTGGAATTATTGTGTTGCATGTACGATAAAATTCGTTCAACTTGGATCAAATTTACTTGAAAATATCAAATAACTTACCATAAAAATACAAGACTGGTCATAATGTCAGTCTGTTTGCAAATCTGAGTATCTGCCGCCGAATCATTCTTGCTTCCGCAAACTCAAACGGCGGTCTGTGGGTTAAGTATCCTAAACGATTCACAGACAAGTTGGCATACAGGGGGCGGTGTAGGATGTGCTGAGCGTGGAATGGGCTCTGAACTCCTGATCCGCAGCCTCAGTTTGGCCCAGGTAATCGCTACTACAATGACAGTGAAGGAGATGAACGCACGAGGCTGTAAATAGTGAGTCTGAGTTGTCCAGGTTGGATGTACATAGCAGTTGCTTAAGTTGCTGCAATAACACAAGCTCGGCTACGCAATAACCATTTTTAAGTATCTAGCGAAGACGGTGTCAGAATACTTTATGCAAGATTTTCCCTTGACATATTTTAAGATAGCAGGAAAAAATCCAACAGAATACTCTGAATTTAGATATTTCTGGTATTCTCATCAGGTGTTAACAAACAATGGCGCTGCGTTCCAAAATAAACAACGTTCATGGTCACTGAGTTTAAAGTTGGGCCAAGCAATAGAACAATTAGCAAGGCAAGGCGAGACTAGTCATAAAATCAGTCTGTTTGTATAAATTAGGTTTTAGTCGCCAAATTGTTGAAGTTCCAGCAAACTGAAGCAAGCGAGGATGGCCCTGTCGGTTAAATACCCGTTTAGCTGGCAGCATAATCAACACGTATCTAATAGACATCTGTTATTCGTTTATCCCTGCTTCACCCTCTTACTAAGTCGTGCTATAAATCTCTCAGGGTATCCGTTCTCACATTGTGCTGATTTCATGGTTTCCAACTCACTGGCAATCATATCTTTTGAGCAAATTTTGGGAGCTTTCGCGGAGCGTGGTGACTCAATGCTTGTTTGTAAGTTATAGGACAGAACATATCAAAGTTGAAGTATTGTCCTGTCCAAGTAGGCAAGGATCGGATCAGCATGCCGCCTGGATTCCTGTTATCTTTACATGCAAGAATTGATGGCATTAGCCAATTCGCTTTTTATCGTGAAATTGGTTACAGTTAGTAAATTGAAACTCATGAAATCAGCACTCCGTAAAGACGGACACCCCAAGAAATTTATAGCAAGGCATAGATCAATAAAGGCTGGGGTAAACGAATAACAGACGTCTATATGAAACGTTTTTATTACGCTGCCGCTCAAAGGGGACCAAAATAACAAATTATTCCCACACCATCTCTGTTAGCTGAGTAAGAATCAGCTTCTGGTTTTGATTTAGAAAGTGCCATATTGTGACGCTAAGTCTCGTCTGGCAGTGTGTGCGTGCGTCACTTTATTATGCTAGATTTCGCAAAGGCGCTATTGCGTGGTTGGCTCGAATTGCGTACTCGTCTACTACACGCCTTTGAACGACGCAAGACGAAAATCTATCTTTGGTGTTCAACGTAAAACGGGCCTACAATACATATCACGGAATTTTGCTCAAATAAGACAGGGAAAGCTGTAAGTTTAAACCTAACCCACTTCTAAATAATAAGACGGAAACCTAAAATACCAAGTAAATTGCAACACTAAAGGGACAAGGCATTAGCCAGGACCAATAATATTTTAGAGAGGATTTAAGTGAAATAGCAGAGTCAAAAGCAGTCAAAAAGCTATCGAAATTCAGCAGTGTTAAAACTTTACCTTATCGTTTTAGAAATTGTCAGTAGTTTGCATTACCGCGGCTTGATAATTGTGAAATATTGTCTTAAACTTTGTAGTGGAAATTAACTGAGCAACAATAGAACTTAAAATCTGAAATAAATAAACACGTGGCTGACAGTCTGCAAACCGTCCCGTTATACATTTCTGCTGTTTGGATAGAGGGTTATTGTTTTCTGAAACTTCTTAACACTCCTTAACTACTTAGCTATTGTTGGGTTGTTAGCCACTGAGTATGCAACTACCATTTATCGAGTTAATATACCGTTTTCAAATGCTTGTTTCAACAGTGAAAGTTGGTGTCAAATCACTAAATTACGACTGCGATGGTCTGGGAAATCTATCGTCTATGACCTATGACGGTGCCACCTGTGGATTCGAGGTGAACGAAACGTTTATATTCCCACCAGGCAAATACTGTCTTCTGCAGCTATCGGCCTCGTGCCCTTCAGGTAAGGAGGTTAAGGAAGGAAACTTTATGCATGTGAATTAAATACTCACATATTTTTTTCGTTCTTGACTTACATATTTGACCAAATTAACTATTTGATGCTTTAGAGTTTAAATTATATATAACTTTTATTCCATCTGCTTAAACCTAAGGTTCTTACTGTTGTATATCGAGGATGGTCGTAGCAACTTTCCGTATTATAGAAATTGTTGTGCAAAATTTCGAACCAATGATAAGTTTATAAGAACTTGAGTGATTCCTTCTAATCATCTTCCAGGAATCCCGGAGAAATAAAAACATCTCCGTTCAGTCTGGCCTAACATGTTTACTTATACTTATCACTGTGAAAAGTGAAGTTTTAGTGTAATTTGGATGATTGGTCACAGGCAGATCCCAGCCAAATAGCGCCCACCCGTCTGGAATATAATAATATGGAATTTTCGTCTTATTACACCTCTTCAATGGCGCACATTTACCCCAACCAAGACGGAAACCGAAAACACGGAATACGGACGTCCGCGGTTATTATAACTCGACGGTACTTGAGAGTGAGGTAGTGTCCTGCGATATTGAGATGGCAACACAAATCGCCTAGTGTTCCAATGTATTGCAGATTAAACGAAAAAAATAACTTGGATATTCTCGTATTTAGCGTAAGCCGCCTGTGATGACATGCCAAGTAAATAAAACGTTTTCTAGGGCAATGAGCGCGAATGCTCAGCAAATGTACCAGAGTAATGTAAGTCAATCTTTCAATTCTGATAGGGCATAAAAGTTGCTTGTTTTTCCGGTGTGTTACCTGGTGTTGCGGGAGATCTCTATATCGGACTAGCAAGACCCTTAAGAATATGAATAGGGAAAGTCTAAAAGCTAATTCTGGATAATAGAATAGTGGGTTTAACACAAGTATAAAGAAGGTACAAAATTAATTTTAAATACACTGTGACAGCTTCTTTGCTCATGCTATTCAGTAATATCGAATGTTGGTTGCCGCATTCACATGCTTTTGAAGCAAGTGTGACGCTTCACAAAGCGGTAAGTGCCACTGGAATACAAGAAGAGTACTGCGAACATCGATAGTAAAGTCGTGGAATGTGGTGGTGTGTTCAGTTGATTTCTTTCCTCCCCGAGGGTCGGGAACAACGCACCAATGAGCTGACGCAGTAGGACGAACCTGTCGTCCAATGTTTCTCCGAATGTCTAGGCGGCTAATTCACATAGATGTAACAGTGACTAGTAATCTCTAATCAGAAGCCATCAATTTTCTTACGAACTATAGTTTGACATTCATAGCCGGTGTCCGTCATGCGTGGCCTAGTAGCCTAAGCCGCTAGAGTAGAGGACATTGTATATATTACCGGAACGGCCAAAGTGGAAAAGAGCATACGATGAGTCCCAAAAGACAAAACGTCCAGCCGGTCTTTCGCAAGATATGTGGGAAGCTATATGGCTATAGGTTGAATGCAATGACACAACAGAACTTAATCATTATCCGTCTTTCTGCAAACTGCCGAAGCGGAAAAACGATTCCTTGTTCATCAAATATGACGTGCGGATGAACCCGCGATGGACCCTACTTATAACTCACGTTAATTTACAATCATTCACCGCTTGTTCAATCAGCTTAGCATGTATTTTGGAAAGCCTGCTCCCACATGAGTCCAGATCACTAAAACAGGGAAAAACCAGAGGTCGTGGTAATCCATCTAAACCTATTTAAATACATTCCAAATCCAGCCGCATCAAACGTCTTCTGTAAGCTTTGCAATGAAAAACGTTTAGTCAACGCCAGTTGGGATGCAGAGAAAAGCAAACTCATTTAGATATAGTTTTCGCAAATTGTCGGTTGAAATGTTGATCACTTCGCCTTCTTAATACTCTTCGGGCATTTCATCAAAATATCGGTGCCAGTGTATTCTTCCAATCGGATTTCAAAAGCGAGTCAAACTTGTGGGCTTTTCTTGATTTCTACCGCAATAACATATAGATGCAAGATCTTCCCTACTAATAGGTATATTGCGGAAGAAATATGGCTTGTCGGATAACCGTAGTTGAGAAGCAAGCGTTATGTTTAAGTTGTAAGGTGAAGTCCGACAGCACATGTATTTTAGGAGAGTTTATCGCCTCCAAAAAAATCATTAAAGCGGTCGTAACAGGACAAAGAGCATTGCTTATAACAAGTAATACTTATTGATTAATGCATCCTTCACTTCTCCAATCTGTTCAACTGCGTTTGTATCATCCTCATCATCATTACACGTTAGCTGGAGGTGGAAAACACGTCAGCTATTGTGCCGCAATACAAAAGGCAAGAAAAGAAAAAAAAACAGTGGCACGCCCGCTGAGTCCCCAGTAACGGATGGACATCGTTCCGGAGAGCTAACAGCTGGCTGCCGTAAAAAAAAGTCATATTATGCCGAACGATTGAGATCGTACTGCGTTTGTATACGGTATAACGGTTAAGAACAACTGAGCAAGCCAGATTGAGCAGTTTAAATACAAGAAAGGGTGACATAGGCTGTTATAGCTAATTATCTATCACAAGCTTTGTTCTGACTATAGTCAGCAGAAATTTGGGTGTAACGGGAAGCAAACCATAGCAAGGAAGTGTAAAGTGCCACTTTGATTAATTTTAGGTGGCGTAGTTTTTTGAAAATCGACGCTGAATTTACTCCTTCAAAGCTGTTTGCTGTTACAGTGCCAGTAAGCAGCATGATTCACACGTTCCGAAGTACCACTATATACTCAATCGTTAAACTGGATACTTTTACATTGCTGAACATCCTGCGTGTATTCTACGTCATAACTGCTGTGGTTAACAAATAATGAATAACTTACTCTGTTGTTACAATCCCATTTAATTGACGAAGTAATTGTAACCTTCAATGCACCCTGCATTCATCAGGAGAAAAGAAATTCTAATTTCTAACGACGCACCTCAAACACATTGAGTAGAATAGCTGCACTTTTCTATGTTTTAAGATTCTTATTGTGTTTACTGGTCAGTTCGTCGTAATTCTAGATCCAACACAACTTAAACCCATACCCAACTCGATATAAGTTCGCAATATATTTGTGCTGTAACTTCGCTCTTCTGTAATATTTCCTTCATCTCTTACATCCTGATTTACCGTCACCCATCTCGTCTCTGCCAAAACTAACTACCTACTCATTGCTCCGTTTTATCAATACATGACCTAGTTTTGACAAACTTTTTAATCAGCCGTCAAGTTTGTAGGTTTGCTAGTAGATATGACACCTGTTTGGTGCTTTCTGCTGTTTAAAGATCACTCAAAACACCGTATTTCTGCCACATTACAGACAAAACTGTTCTTTTCCCTTCGTGTGGTTAGTCCTTAACCATTGCTTTATCCACCATATTAAAGTGCTACATATCGCTGAGTTGATGTTAATACCTTTGTTGTATTAAGACGGACCTGGTTGGATATCTAACCATTTGCCGGTAGTAGTAGTAGTAGTAGTAGTAGTAGTAGTAGTAGTAGTGGTAGTAGTAGTAGTAGTAATAGTAGTGGTAGTTGTTGATGTTAATGTTGTTGTTTACATCGCTGCTGCTGATGTTGTTGTTGAATATGCTGATGGCGATTGTGCTAGAGCTGTACACTATGCGTCACTTCATAACATACCCAGTGAACCATACAAGTTATAAATTCCTGACTTATTTTGAACTTGTGCCAGTGAAAATAATTCACTTAGTGCTTCCAAGCGAAGCTGCCGCTTGAGAAGGGACGGTTGTGTATCATAATGGCGAATGGAGGAAAATTTGGCGATTTCACCCATTGGACCAGTACATGAATGTTTGTATTGGGAAACATAACACCATCTCTCGTTCGCAGTAAACGTTAAATAAAGCAATAGTGAGATGCCATTTGTAGCAATCTGATATCAGGCGTGTGATATCTCCAACTTTCTAACTTTCAAGCACAATCGCATTGTAGCAACTATAGGATCCCTATACTAGTTAGTCACTCAAGGCTGAATAGAAAAAACGCAGGTTAGTGAATCCATACTATACGCACGGTCTGGAAAGAGAGTCCACATGTAAATCCCTGTTACCGGAGTGCTGTATTTCAAATTAAAGACAGGAATCAATTTGGGAATAGGTTTGCAATCGTTTTGAGAATGGGCGAAAACTGGTAGACATGCGAAAGCGTGCGGTATAGCGTAGCGGTCAGTTAATGGGCAGTCTGCAAGCGTGAAATATTTGACATGGATGAGTCAAATATATGCTAGTGGTTCTAAGTGAATACGTAAAGCCCTTCAGAATGCAAGTATTTGAAGAAAATGTGTGTAAGTTTGGGCTGGAAATAGGTGCACGGTTGTTGAATAGGTAAAGCTTATCCTTTAAATGTTTCCGTTTTTGCTATATTTCCAAAGTTCTTTTTACGTTTCAAGCACCACACTCCGGTAAACGGTAGGTGTTTTCACGAACAATCTTTTTATACGCTTTCTATTCCCTTTAATCTTCTGCTCCGTAACCTTACATAAATTGCAACCAATGTATCAACAGTTTATAAAATGATGGAAGGCAATTATTGCCTGTTTTATCTCGCACCAGGTTTCACTCATCGTAGTGGTATGATGCGTCTTGGATTCAGCTTGCAAGCGCTTGGTAACACGTGCTGCCGAACTGAGGAGACTATTGGAGCGATTCGACTTCCTATTAAGATGGCAGCGCCCTTCAAACTACCTGCTGTATATCGCCCGTGCCAAGCTATTGAGAATTTCAACGTTGACGCCGAGTTACATCACTGTGTGTACTATCCACAAGGAGGTGAAACCCGATAAAATTGTTATTTCCATTGTGATGTCAGTTGCCAAATCACAAATTTAGTCTTACCTACCTTGGTGAATTCTTGTGTCTTGTCCATTACAGAAACACCGCAGGCCCTGATAATGTGGCCCAGAATAGTAGGAAAAGTTGTCGCAGATCCGATGAGTAAGGAAGATTACAATATCAGTGCGACGACGGCTGTATCAACCCCAATGAGTTGTGCAGTCATGCCACGCAAAAGTAAGCTCGGACCGTTAGTAAACGTTACACTTAGTGTTGGACAGAAATGGCTTTTACATACTATTCCTGGGACCAACAAGAATGGAATATAGACAAAGTGGATTTATCTATCTAATTGTTAACATACAGCATTTTGAATATTAAACCAACTACTGTGATCGATCTAATCGATGTTTTCCTAATATATTTCTTGCTTCAAATTGAGCCTATGTGTCATACATATGTCAAAAACAGCTGTGAGTGGTTGTTTATACCATACATTTCTATCTAGTTCGCTCGTGAAATATTCTGCTGAAAATTTTCGATATTTTATCATGTGAATTTCACCTTAACTATTATGAAAATGTACGCACGAAAGTACCCCTTTCGGGCTGCAATTACCTTAACCCCTATTTAAAGTACTTAATACATTTGGAGTAAGTTGTGAAAATAAACAATAAAAGCCGTATGTAATTCGGTTAAGTTAGTAACATACCGTGCAGGGTCAGTCACGTTCAAAGTTGTTTTTCGTGACGCGCTACTTTTAAAAGCATTAAAGCAACTGCAAAGCAAATGGTCTTTTACTGACCTATTCGACATCAAGCTGACGACAAGCTTATGGAGAAAAGTCGTATCAGTAATAATACTAGAAAACTGTATCATTAACGAAATTTCTTAGAAAATTTATAAAGATCGGCCTTTACTCCCGTTGACCTGATTACCTCTACGATAACGCATCATATTTGCATTATCGATGTCACAAATGAATTACCAACGCAAAACAGAAACTCTGTTTTCAAACTTCGTACCAATCATTGGTCGCTAAGTGACCAAAACGCATGCACCTCTATCTAAATAGTCTGAGCTGCGCAAATTATTGGGCACATCACATGGGTTTGTCCCAGCCATCCAACTTAAGGACAGCTAAGACATAAATTAGTGTAGACATAAGCACTAAAAAACACGCAACAACAAGCGAATTGTGTATAAGCTATACTGTGCTAACTTTGCCTCAGTTTAAAATGTGATAAAAGATGAGGTTGTGGTGCTCAAGCCCAAGTTATTTTTTATTTTAAGCTTCGTTTAATTTTTCTATTATGAGATTTGAGATACTCTATCGGAAAGTACTGAAAGTAAACGTAATGATTTCAGAAAATTTTGAATACAAATTGGTTTTGGTAGGGTTTTATTGTGTAATGTGAAATGTTGAGTGCACCTAACAGTAATGTCAGGGGGATTAACAGGGACATTCAGGAGGATTTACCTCTTACGTTACATATATATATATATATTTAAAAGTGAGATCACAGATAAAGCAAACATTATTCCAAATAATAAATCCTGTACTAACTTTCGTGAAAATAAGATGACTGATGTTTGACTTATTACGTGAGTTGCACAAGAAAAGTAGGAACATAAATTAATTCTTGTTACCTCAGATAGGTCATCGGGCTCAGGAGCCACAACACCGTATTATTCAACCTGTGATGGCCCCTTGATAAACTTTATGGGCAGCTATCGTAAATGCAGCATTTTACCACAGTTCACTTTGTTTGACATGTTCATCCGGACATTTACTATTTTCGTTAAACTTCACTTACAGGGAAGAAAGTACAACGAGGTCAACTGGGTAGGCTCACAACTCTGTTCTTTAGCATGAGTAAGTTTCTATAAGGCCCACACGTCTCTATTGAAGTTGATGTACACATATTGATTATAGGCTGGTAAACAAAGAAAAGCCAAATAAGTGTCATTACAAATCTGACATAACATGAGAAGTAAGGTGACTAATGTTAACATCAGTTTCCCTAGAGGTTTAACCCAAATATAAACAAGTAGAAAAAACATGACTTCTGCCTGGTGCGCGACGTATTGCCAATGAGCTCACAGTACCTGTCCTGGTGTTGCAGATTGGTTCACTCACCCGTCGCTTCCCAATGGACCGAAGTATCTGTCCTTCAGATGTCCAAAGGGCGATGGTAGATTAGATTAATTGTGGATGTTTGTGAGTAGCGTAAACTTCGTAGAAAGTAGAAGTCACGATTAAAATTCGCACACAATAATGTGCCTCGACGGGGGGTCCAACGCCGGACCAACGAATTTAATCGTGACTTCTACTTTCTACGAAGTTTACGCTACTCAAAAACATCCACAATTAATCTAATCTACCATCGCCCTTTGGACATCTGAAGGACAGATACTTCGGTCCATTGGGAAGCGGCGGGTGAGTGAACCAATCTGCAACACTAGGACAGATACTGTGAGCTCATTGGCAATACGTCGCGCACTAAGCAGAAGTCATGTATTAAAAAAATTGTGCACTTAATCGTCAACCCTCGGTAGCTCAGTGGTAGAGCAGCGGACCGGAAATTCGTTGGGCCGGGATTCGAGTCCCCGTCGAGGCACATTATCGTGTGTGAATTTTAATTGTGACTTCTACCTTCTACGAAGTTTACACTACTCACAAGCATCCACAATTAATCTAAAGTGGAAAATAAGTGAAGTTCCTCGCGCGAAGCAATGTAGTGTTGGGAGCGAGATGCGGTATGTTTACTACGGGTGCGATTTTAGTTATCAAAACCATGATGGTAACCTTCCACTAGGTCAAATTGGCGTTTGTGGCTGCATGTAGTAATAATACTGTACGGTGTGCATTAAAAATTCTGCCATAGTTCAGGTATTAGTTGCGGCAGCACCCATCTAAAAGGTCCAAATACGGTCCCGCATTTAGTTTTTGGGATGAATTGTTGTGCCATTTCTGACCTGAGAGTCTTATCACTAAACAGAAAGGTGAAGTATGAGTCATTATAGCATATTTCCTTTGTATCTTGATTGGTGCTGCTCTGGTTGCATGCGTCGGAGGGCAGTGTGTTCAATGCGTTTCAACACGCTGCATTTGTTGCAGTCACAGTAAGAAAAAAGTACATTGTTAAGATGTAAGGAATCATTAAACATTGAATAGAATATTTCAAAATTGTCGACAAAAATGCCATTAACTTGCTCCTAAGGTCGCTCTCGATCGCTGACTAATTTGCAATAACCGATTACATCACCAGCGCCACTTAAACGCTACTGAAGTGTTGGAAACAGAGAATTACCAGAGATTTCGGCTCCTATATGTATGAGGCTTATTTCGGAAAAAGTTTTTGCTACATTTGAACAGAGGGTGCTTTTTTCTAGTTCTGTGACTTTCCATGCTGCACCAACAGTTAATTGCAATGCAGTCACTCGTTTAATGGCAAATTTTTATCGCATTAATAACGTCCCATTTGCATCACGGTTTTCCCCTCAGTGCAGGATCAGTGGCTGATTTACAAACGACCACGGTGGACAAACACGATGATCGAAAATGGTGATGTATGTTTCATTGAAGTTCCTTGGTCACTGCTGCCGCCTGAAAGCCAAGATGAGAGAAAATATTGCATATTTGCATTCGGATCATGCCCCAAACCACGTGAGTACGTGGAGAGAAAAGTAATGAAATACTCGCTGTCTATCTGATATTCAGCTGTTATAGTATGCGAATCAAGCCATCACCGCAAATACCCGACCTAACTCGAATATTTCCCGCGACTGTCTAAATTATAAGCTGTAACTATGCAAAGCACGTTACAAGTGATATTTGGAAAAGTGTAAATGTAACCACTGTTTAAACCGCCTCCACAAATATTGAAGCTCGGTGTTTCATAACAGCATCTAGATAGTAATAAAACAATTAAATGGAAACAGAACGTTCGGACCTTAATCAAAAAAGTAAAACAATAATGATATGAAAGATGGGGTGGGACAAAAAGGCACAGCACAAAGGCCTTTGAGGTCGGCTCCGAGTCATGTCAGCAAGTGTATCTAGCCAAACTTGTTCATCGTCTTTGGGACCCCATACAGGAAACCGTGACGCTCCAAACAAGGCCAGCTCCGAAGTGAGGGCTATCATTACTCTGGACAAAGTCACCGCTTGGCCACCGTTCCTGCTCTTCTATCCACTGTCCCAGTGAGCGAGCAACGCACACCACTAAAGTCGGTGGGCTGGAATGCGCAACACGTGGTCCAGCCATCAGAGCCTGTTGCGTGAAATAACGGTGCTGAGCAGTTAATTTCCTTTTCCTGTGCCCTAAACAAGGCGTCGAACAAGCTCGTTCGTTATTCACGCAGTGTTCCCACCACATGTGAGCCGAACTGCGGAGGCACGGATGATCGAACGTTACTAGCCTCTTTATTTCCCCCGATCTAAGGGGACAGGTTTCGCAACCGTACAGTAACGTCGAACGTACCGCTGCATTGTACACCCTACGCTTCAGGGTGAGAGTGACGTTTCACCGCCGCCATAGGTGGCGAAGACTAGCAAAAGCACTTTGAGCTTTTCTACACAGTTCGTTATCTCATTTTCGATCACAAGGACGCTGATAATAGTTTCAAGTTAGTTCCATTTCCGAACGACTTCCAGCGTCAGCGCAGGAGGCGATCCCTGCCAACATTGAAGGAAACTTTTGCACTTCGATGGTGCTATGCAAAGCGCGGAGCGCTGACAGCCAGGGCTAATCAGTCCACTGCAGCTTGGAACATCTGGGAGCTGTTGCAGATGAGGGCAATGTCGTCTGCACACTCCAAGTCAAGAAGTCATTCTCCTGGTAGTAGCTCCACACCTTATAAGTCATGTCCTGTAAATGCGATCATCAAGATTTCGTGAATAGCGAAGTTGAAGAGGAAAAGTTACAACGAGCATCCTTGTCTCACAACGCCGGAGATTATGAAGGGTGGCGACAGCTTGTCTTATGTCCACACTATGCTCGTGCTACGCGCGTATAATGCTCGGATAATATTTACATATTTATTGGACACACATTTCCTGCGTAGCCAATTCCAAAGGGCACATTGATCAACCGCATTGAAGGCACCTTTGATGTCGAGGAACACGACAACGGTGGGCCGCCAATATGTGTGACAGTACTACAACAATTGACGCGAAGTGAAGATGTGGTCGATACATCTACGGCTTGCTCCTCACGAGTTTGACTTTCACGAGCGCCAGTCGGTCTGGGAATGATTACGGAGGCAATTAATTTGGTGGCAATGGGGATCACACTGATTCCTCTATGATTGCCGCATTCCGAGCGCAAGCCTCCTTTGAGGAAGGGAACAATAACGAAGCGGCTCCAGTAACTTGGGACAGTTTCCTGCTCCCACAGTTTCACCAGTAACTCGCATAAATCATCAACAAGAGCACGACCCTGAATTTGAAGAGGACTGGATGAAGAGCATCTGGTCCGACGGCTTTTTTCAACCTCAACAGTCCGATTCCACGTCTGACTTTTGAGCGAGAGGGCGAATCCAAAGGGACAGCCAACGGAGCAGGGGGATCACTTGCCAGTGAGGAATCAAACAAGTCTGGCCGATTGAATTGCTTTTCAAAATGCGCAGTTCAACGCCCCAGACGCTTTGACAAATTCAAGGTAAGCTATCCACTTTCGTCACATATATTTTCACTAACAAAAGGTCGCATGCTGTCCGTTTCTCGTATCAGACGGAATAATTTACGATGGTTGCCAATGGCAGCGGCCACTTCCATCTCCGACTCACGATGAGACCACCAAGATTCGCGGTTTCTCTTCAGGCTAGCACGGAGTATTCCCGGAGCTCTTTGCGAGTTTCATTGTGTTCGCTTACAGCCGGGATCATCAGGCGAGCATCCATAGGTTTCAGAGACCGCGAGGAGACCAAATGTCCATGTTGGCTATTGGACTTACTGCGTGAGGAGTTGACTGATGCTAGTAAGGTCTGGTAAATGTGTGACCGGTGTCCTTCAATTGTCTCCAGTGAGCGCTTACTCAACTTGCGTATCAGCGCACTTAGATAGGCAATCAGTACAGTTGGCTTTGTCAGTTGCCTGGTGTTAACGCGCTCACAACGTCGTCGTGGGTGTCCGCCAAAACGCATCCGCATGTCAGCAACTACAAGTGCATGACCGGTGTCGATACATGTGCTCTAAATCAAGCGTCAGTTCTGGATGCAACCTCTCCAGCGGTAACTGATAGAAATGTGATAGATTTGAGTCCAAGGTGGTTGGAGGATGGTGGGCGACAAGTAACCCTCCGGCGAGTGCTGTGTTGGAAGTCAGTGCTCGCAAGAAATAAGCGGGCATCTTCACACAAATAAAGTAATCACCCACCGTTATCATTACGGAAGCCTACACCGTGCTGACTGCCCAGATGCATTTCATCAGTGGACAACTTTTCAACTTGTGCGTTCAGACCGTCCACCAGAACAACAGTGTCCGTGTTTCTTCTGTGTCGAAGGAGCTGAGTCACTTGGTGGTAGAAGTCGTTCTTTACCGAATCATCGCTACAGTTTGTGGGCGCCTAGACAGCGATAATGAATAGGCACCTATTAGTCCCGTGCGACTTCGAAGATTTGAACGAACCAGCCAATCGGACCGCACACATCCGGCTACTGAGTGGAATCCAATCAACCAGAGCAGCTTCAGCCCGGACACTCAGGGCAATGCTAACACCAGCTTGGCCGGTGCTCGAAGCTGCATCGTCACCAGATAGGAGCAATGAGAAAATACTGCTTGCGTCAACTGAAGGGGATCGCAGTGAGCACAGAGCTCGAGTGTTGCAGGCAGGTTGCCGAGAAGCAGCAGATGTCGATCGAGATGGTTTCCAATGTTCGGGCAAGTGCTGCCTGTTGATCGGTCTGTAGCGGCATGCGTACATTGAGGCATGCCAATCTGTAGGAAGATCGATTGCTCCACATGGAAGCCAATGAACTGGAATGGACTCTTGGTTGAACATGGGATTGTCGACAGGAGAAGTGTGACACTCCGCGTTAGCATGTAAGCTGAAATTAGAAGCTAATTGCCTAGCAAAGCATGTTGTGGGAGGGCTACGCACTGATGGGTCGAAAACTGGGTGGGTGGAGGAACGTGAAGCTGCAACGGGATGATGAGTGTGAAAAAGCGTAAGCGGGTGAATAAGAAGACGGGAAGGCTTGAGCCGTAGCATCCAAACCCCTATCCACCCTGCTCGATACAGCAGATAGGGCACCGTTGATTATCCTCTGTAGTGGCCAAAGCACCAGAAATTTCTTTGAAGAGAGATTCATTGCATTGCTTGGGCAGGATACTGTCAGGTTGCCAAGGCTTAGACAAGAGAACGATTAGGGTTCTCAACCAAAGCCTTTGGTTCAAAAACCTTACCGCAAGGCAGCGGGTTTGGCGTTGGGCTACAAGGAGTCCGTTTTAAGGAATAAGATGCCACCCTCATTCCAACCCCCAGCCTGGATGACCAGGCGGCTGAGTTAGTCTAGGCACTAACCATTGACTAATCTGGTATGAGTGACTCTGAAGGTACAAAACACCACCCAGCGTAGCTCAATGGATCACTGAGGCACACAAATTATCGCACTACGGTAAGGTCCAGCCTCATTGTGGTGGAATAGAGTGCCTTATCCGAGGTTAATCAACAAATGAAAGCCATAGTCATTTCCGCCGATCTTTTCTTGACTATCCTCTTGTCTGGTTTGCAGAGAGTAGGCGGTGTGCATCGGTTGCCATTTCTCTACGGTGAAGGCTCTCACCAGTGAAGTAATTCAAGGTAGTGTTCTCGAACCACTTCTTCTCTTCATCTGCATGCACGGTGTATACCAGAAAATAAGAAATGATGATACGTTTCTGTTTGCTGATGACAATACATTCGTATATGCACAAGAAAGTGCAAATACCCAGGCCACCGCACACCTCATTCAAGATGACTAATAGGTACTTGAACCCTGGTGCCAGCTGTGGCACATATCGTTTGCCGTGGACACGTGTAATAGGCTGTCGTACATACACTAAGTAAAATCAGACAGTATCTTAACGCACGGCGCATGTATTTTGCTATGCAGGGTAGTTCGTGACTTGGACGTGCAATACTTTGGTACCAAATTTCCCGACTTTATGACTTTCATGTTTCGAAAACAATGAAGTCCATCGGATATATATGACACCATTTTGCCTCACGTGATCTCGCACCTGGCACTTCAAAGCATATTTACTACCATGTATGAAATAATGGTCAACGATCTAATAGAATCAGTGAAGATCTGACCAGCATGCCTCGAATAAAACCTCTCGGCTCCCTGGTTAAGGCCCAAAAGACAAGCAACCCATTTAGCTGGATACACTTGTTGACATGGCGAGGAGCCGCCCTCAGTGGCGCTTGAGTCGTGAGTTTCGTTATCTCTCCTTCTCCCGCTTACCCCCCCCCCTCCAAGCACAATCTCATTTCTGATGCGGAACATTTTTGCATGACACCCGACTGCTCTCTCCTGAACGATATACCTACTTTACTGTTAGCTCAGTTGACTTGCCTATACTGCGTCCTTTTTACCGTTTTATGCAAAATAACTAAGGTGTTTCCGCCTCTAGCCAACTTGTATAACGAGGATGATGAACATGGGATCGTTAACCATCACGCACCCATTTTAAATAATGATGTATGTACGTTTTTAAACACTAGATA